GAAGACCGCACTTGAAAGTAGAATGTCCCAGCGAATTTTCATCCTTGCAGCTTATCCTGTAAGCGAAATATTAATTTCGCTACAAATATCTTTGAAGTGCCATAAATTGTGGTTCAAGTACAAATCGGTACTCATTTTAGGTAGATGGTTTCCTATATGGAAGTCAAAGATCCTGACAAAATTTCAGCCACTGTTTTCCGGCAAGTTTTCGAGTTAACATAGTAGCAAGTCGCAAACTTTGACGTGATCGTACGCGCTTCGCAAGCGTACTGCGAAGCACGTACGATCACGTCAAAGTTTGCGACCTGCTACTATGTTAACTCGAAAACTTGTCGGAAAACAGTGGCTGAAATTTTGTCAGGATGTTTGACGTGTGAGCTAAAGATTTCGAAATCGACAGCTCAGCTCAAAATCTTTAGCTCACACCTGCATAGAGAACACCCCTGCAAAGTTTCAGCTTTGTACCTTGCCTAGTTCGCGAAATCATTTTTCTCCAACGAAATTTGCATATTTTTGGGGTCGCGTACGCGGGGTCTAGACGCATGTGAGAAAATATCTTAAAACGGGAGAATGACACACGGGGTAAGAACATATATCCAAAGTTTCAGCCTCCCAGCTTTCCTGGCTGCTGAGACGAAAGTGGGTGACAAAATGCAATCGCTTCTAAACACACACACAGACAGCCTCTCGACAATATGCGTTTTGCTAGCTGTAGCAGCGCTATAGCGATGCACAGCAAAAACGTATAAAAACGTATCGAACCGGCAAGTTTGGTCGTTCCAGCCTGGGTCCTTATTACTACGCGGTAGCTCCACAGTACGAGAAAAACCTACTCTTTTGATGGCATTATGCAACGTCACTCTTCACTGCCAACATTTGTAAACAACACAAACATTCATGCACTTTGAAGTGGAACTAAACAAAAAAATAAAAAACTGATAAACGAATGAATGCAAATGAAACAATAGCAAAACCCTCGATGGGAAAGATTATGAAATACTCGTGCATGCAGGTCTCGAAAGTACGGTGTAACAGAGTTTTGGCGCCATCTCCCACTAATCAAATTAGCTATGATTAAAGGAAAACAAATAAAAATAAAGTAAAAGAAATGTGGAAACAAATCCCAAGCAAACTGCACGTGTAAAACAAGTGATTTTTCCTATGCTCGAGATGTCAGGAAAGTTTCCTAGGCCAATTCAATTCCGGTTACATAGTCAAACACCACGGAATCCAACTAATGCAAGTGGCTTGCTTTGCTAAGAATCAAAACGAATAACAAAACATTTACAACAGCGGCGAACGGTTCAACACACGGATTTCATCGTCTCAACGTTCTAACTGGTCAGCAGGCACATCCGAATCTTCTTCGTTGTAAATGTTGTCAGCCATTTGCCAAATTTGCATGATATTATCCTCCGATACCGAGCACACAACCCATGGTTCGTTTGGATTCCACGAGAAGTCCGATATCTATAAAAAAAATAAAAAGCAAACTTACATCAGTACTGATAGCTCTTAAATGATGGTTTTCCCACAAAGCTCACAGTGCGCACCTCATCGTGGCTTGCTCGTGTTAACGCCTTCTACAGTAAGTGGGCAAGGCAAGAAATCATTAGTTCAAAACCAGTGGCATGTAGATCAGACGTTAAAGAAATAAACAGCCAAGCTTATCCAGGTTAAAAGTTGAATATGAACCGTGGTATCCATCCAAACTTTGAATTTCAAACCGAGAAAGATTGAGGAGAAAGTGAGGGACAAAATATGCAAAAAATATCAACAACAGAAAATATGACCTGCTAAATGCCACAAGATATAAGTTCTTCCAATCATATGTAAACTCCATGGGTAAGTGAGTGGAACCGAGAAAAAAAAGATACTTGGATGGGTCAAGAATGGTGGACGCACACAGCTTATGCAGCTTTCTTAATTATTTCCGGAACTACCGTGATCAATCTTACTTCACTTGTAATGGCAAACAACGAGAATAACCGTAAAAAAATCAAACAAAGGCTGGAACGCACCAGGCGAGCCGGTGCGATCATGCGTTTTTGCATCAAAACTA